AAGGCAGAAAGCTGTCACAGCTAGTTTGCGTTCACCCCTTGTTTTACGCAATTAAGTATTACGACAGACTTCAAGAAAGTCAAATAAGTTAATTAATACAACCACAGTCAACGAATAGAAAATAGTTTTTTTGTTTTGTGTAGAAAAAGACCCCCTGGGCGTGTGCCCGGATATGACCTCAACTTCTTTATTGTGTCAAAAGTGGGGGGTGGGCGTTTGTCCAGGCATGGGCTCTTACCCGGATAAGTACGGTAAATAAAAAATTAGATGTACATATTAGAGAAGCCTGAAAAAAAGTCGTTTTGTATTCTGTTACAAAATATTAAAAATGAAATTATGGTGTTCAATTTTTATTTCGGTTTATGCATTATAGGAGGGCATTGCACATGTATTTAATCATGATGACACTCACTTAAAAGTAACGACAAAAATAGCTCCAACTTCCTCTAGTGGAGTTGTACAGACATCAATAATAATGATAATCAAATCAGTATACGTATTTCCATTCATGTGAGATCTACATTGTGTCTCGTATCAAGTGTGAAACACAGAAAATAAATGTGAAAATAAATGCAAATATAATAATAATAAAGACAGAATATGATATTAATGTACAGTGTTATCTATGAATAATTATCCAGCTTAAAAAATTTGAATCAATAGGTCATCCTGCATCATGCAGTACATGCATGTATGCGTTAAATATTAAATTATCAGTTTGTCAATAAGACTTGTTATGACTTGAATTTACACTGATTAACATGTATGTATGACTGCAAAACTGTGTTTGAACTACAATAATTATTTTCACGGTTGAAGAAAATATCGGTAATATGCATAGTTAATTAATATTCTAGTACATTGTGTTTTGTTCGCTTTTTTTTTTTTAGCAAGAAACGTTTGATGGCGTGGTATAATGAACACTTAATTAATTCATAATTGCCATGCATGTCTCCATGATATATTTACATTTATTTTGTTTGTAACTGTATGATTTATTTAATTGTAACTCCTCCACAGACATTAATTGGAAAGAAAGCAGTCAGCAGGCAATGTGCTATTTATACATGTTTAGATTCAGTTGTACACTACAAAGAGGTCATTGATATCTTGGTGATTGTAAGCATTCCAACCACTAGTCAACAAAGTAACCACATACAATTTATGTACACAGCATCAATGAAAAAGGAATAAGGCAATTTATTTATTTGAATATGCATTAAAATACATTCCATTATTTCTTATGCATATGTGATTTGAACTCATTTTTAAGGAATCTGTCCTGACTGGCTGTTGGTAGATATTTAAGTAACTATTATTTTTCCTATTTCATATTTTTGTCTATAATTTCTTCATTATTGGCTCAAATGGAAATACATGTAATGTCTAATTAGCCAAAGGTTTTAAATGAATAAATAATTCAAATAATAATAATATAGTTGCATCTTTAGAAATGCAAGTTTCTATCAGTATGTACCTATAACATTTTATGAAAGAATAAATACATAAATATTAAAAATAATAATACAATAATAATGTGGGTTTATTTTATGAAAAGTGACAAAAACTGTCTTTGTCGTCATAAAGTTATTCATCAAAATAATGTAAAATGCTTAAAAAATGCAATGGTTGTCATGGTACAGTTTGTGTAAACAAACCATGTATGTGTTGTATACAATGTATATTGTATGGAACTCATATTAAACTTGATGCATCGTGATGATCATCGTCTTTTAATTTTACGAGAAACCAAAAAATGTGAGCATTTTATAGCAGTGAAAGCATGCTGGAAACATTTGCAAAAAATAACAATGAGAATTTAGTGGCCACCAATGTGAGAGAAGACTTCTTTGAGTAATTCAATTTTTTTTAGTAAAGTGAATTTATCTGTGTCTGTATGAAGCTTGAGATTACTTGTATTTGAAAGAAAATCATGCCACGGGGAAATCTGTTGCATGCGTTTATCTCCTGATGAGAAAAAAAGAACATTTATCAAGACTCAAAATGTCAATAGAATTGGAGTGAATTGCATATTTATCCCTTAAATATTATAATATTACTTCATCAAAATTACGGCATGAATATTTTGAAAAGGTTCTATAATTCAATTTCCTTTAGTTCTACTTACACTCTAACAGCTGCCTCAGTTAAAACCACAAAATAATAATACAACATACAGTATTACATGCATTAGACACACATTTTATGTATAGTTTTATAAATGTCATTTCAATGTTTACTTTTGATATTCCTTTTAGTGTTCCTTCATATTAATATCCAAAACTGGATTCGATTAAAATAACGATATTACTTACCTCACTCACTTACTCACTGACTCACTCACTCACAGGAACATTTGTACATAGAACATTATTAGTTTATGTGATTTAATCAAATATGCTCTGAACAGTGTACATAATCTCATCAAATCTGACAAGAACATAGATATAGATAGATATTTTATTTGGCATGATTTAATATTAAGGACAACATCCAATAAATCAATGGTCATGAAATCAGTTCAAAACAAACAAAAAAACAGACATGTACATTATGGCTATTATATGTATACGTGTCTGTGTATAGAATATGCAGCAACTACAACTTATTGTGGAAACAATAATTTAAATTACTTATATGGTGTTTTCATTAAATTTCACTAGTAAATTTAACTATTTAAGTGCTGTATAGGTTTAAGTGATTGGTATTGATTTGTCTACTGTACATAGTTGAACTATGAAAGCAACTGTTTGGGCAAGTGAGAAAACGTTTGATGACCAGTTAAAAAATACATAAATGTAGAAAGCATTATGCTTCCTTATGGCAAAAGGACAAATGGGTGCTCTAGTCTATGTGGGAGTTGGCAGGGGTGTCAGTGATACTGGAAAGGACAAATGGGTGCTCTAGTCTATGTGGGAGTTGGCAGGGGTGTCAGTGATACTGGAAAGAACAAATTGGTGCTCTAGTCTATGTGGGAGTTGGCAGGGGTGTCAGTGATACTGGAAAAGACAAATGGGTGCTCTAGTCTATGTGGGAGTTGGCAGGGGTGTCAGGGATACTGGAAATG